AGAAGGAGGTGATTTGGCCGAAAGACATGGTGATCCCGAACCCCCCGAGTATTGAGGATATTCGTGCCCTAAGCATTTCGTTTAAGAGAGCCACCATTGCTGTGGATGGTTTCCATCCTCGACACTTTATGCTGCTTTGTGACGAGGCGCTAGGTGTTTTCCAGCAGGTTATGGCTGCTATGACGGTCGCGGGCGCGGTGCCCACCTGGATGAGGAAGCTGGTCCTCGCCCTTTTTCGCAAGCCAGTCTCGGGGAGGAGGCCGATTGGGTTCTTCCAGAGTGCGGTGAGGCTGGTGTCCAGGTGGCATTCTAGAGATCGTAAGAGATGGGAGCACAAGTTGAAGGATTGGGGAGTGTTCAGCATGAGGGCAGGCAGGTCACCGGTTGACACAGTGTGGCGGCAGCAGGTTCGAGGGGACTTGGCGACTGCAGAACGCAAGCACGTGCTCAGCCTTCTTGCAGACCTCACTCAGTGCTACGAGCACGTGCAGTACCCCCAGCTTGTGCAGAGTGCGATAGAATGGCAGCATCCGTTGTGCATTTTAAGGTTTGCACTGCACACGTATGCGTGGGAGCGGATATTCAATTTAGATGGAGTGGTGTCCCAAGGGATTTTACCACATCAGGGGATTGTCGCTGGAAGCAGTGCGGCTACGTTTGAAATCAAGGCTTATAGCATTCCCACGATAAACAGATTCCTGGAGCAGGGGTTTTCGACGGAGTTGGCGGTCCATGTTGATGATTTCAGCCTTAATGAAAGATGCGCAGACATGGTCACGTGCGTCAGGAACTTGGCTGTCGCCCTTGCTTTTCTGATAGACCTCCTCTCTCAGCTCTTCAAACTGACTGTCGCGATGAAGAAGTTCTGTGTCGCAGGCACCAGCGAGGATCTGGTGCGTGCTGCCAAGCTGAATCTCGCCCAGTATGCAGGCCAGTATGATGTATCGCTGGTCAATTTAGGCGTGGATTTCAACCCAGGCAAACATAGGAGTGTCAAACATGCGAAGCAGAAGAGGAGGGAGAGGTGGGTGAAGCAATCGGGGAGGATCAATAAGACAAGTGGCGCGCGTGCCATGGCCCTTGCACAACAAAGGAAGGGGGAGGGGGAGGGGGAGGAGGAGGAGGGGGAGGAGGAGGAGGAGGAGGAGGAGGAGGAGGAGGAGGAGGAGGAGGAGGTGGAGGAGGAGGGGGGGAGAGGGGGCAAGGTATCGCCCTCTGGGCCCAGCAACGGGGCCCGAGTCCCAGGTGGGGAGGGCGGGGGGGCGGCGGCGTGCGTCGCGAACGCGGAAATAAAGTGCTCGGGACGGAGGGAGCACGGGGCGGAGGTCCCACTGGGGCGCTGAGGGGGCGGAGAGGAGGGGGGGCGGTGTGTGCCGCGACGCGGAATGAACTGTCGGGGCGGAGGGGGCACTGGGCGGGGCTTGGGGCAGAGGGCCACGGGGCGGGGGTCCAACTGGGGCGCTGGGGAAAGGGGGGAAGGTGGGAGGTGGCGTGCGTCGCGACGCGGAATGAAATTGTCGGGGCGGAAGGGGCACGGGGCGGAGCCCCCGCTGGGGCGCTGGGGGCGCGGGGAGGGAGGTGGGGGAGGTGGTGTGCGGCGCGACGCGGGATGATTAGTGGCGGAAGGGGCAGTGGGCGTGGCCCCCGCTGGGGCGCTGGGGACGCGAGGGGGCTCGGGGCGGAGAACCACGGCGCGGGGGTCCCACTCTGGCGCTGGGGGCGCGGGGGGGGGGGTGCGACGCGTAATGCAGCGTTCGTGTCGGAGGGGGCAGTGGGCGGGGGCCCCGCTGGGGCGCTGGGGGCGCGGTGGGGCTTGGGGCAAACAGCCACGGCGCGGGGGCCCCACGCTGGCGCTGGGGACGCGGGGGCGGGGGGGGGAGGTGCGACGCGGGATAAAGCGTTCGTGGCGGAGGGGGCAGTGGGCGTGGCCCCCGCTGGGGCGCTGGGGACGCGGCGGGCTCGGGGCGGAAAGCCACGGCGCGGGGGCCTCACACTGGCGCTGGGGGCGCGGGGGGGCGGGGGGGGGCGACGCGGGATAAAGCGTTCGTGGCGGAGGGGGCAGTGGGCGGGGCCCCCGCTGGGGCGCTGGGGACGCGGGGGGGCTTGGGGCAGAGAGCCACGGCGCGGGGGCCCCACTCTGGCGCTGAGGACGCGGGGGGGGGGGGAGCGACGCGAAATAAAATGGCCGGAGCTCTAGACACCCTGTGCAAGAGAATAAGTGGTCGGGGCGGAGGGGGCGGTGCGCTGGGTTGGGCTGCTGGGGAGAAGGGGGGGGGGGGGGGGGGGCGACGACGACGCCGAAATAAAGTGGTCGGGCCGAAGGGGGCGGCGCGCCGGGCTGCTCGGGAGAGGGGGGCGGGGGGGGAGGGGGGGCGACGACGACGCCGACATAAAGTGGTCGGGGCCGAAATAAGATTATGAGTTTAGAAAATCCGAAACGCTCCAGGGCTAAGATATGGTTTTGCGGGGTAAAGCCTGCGACTACCTATGGCGAAGAGGTGGTGGGCTGGAACCCCCGGCCGAGAGATTCGACGCCTGCGGGCGCAGGCCGCAGGCATGCTAGGACTTTCGAGCTGTGGAGCAGATCTCAACTTGGCCTTCGCGCTCGAACCTCAACGAGACCCTTGGAAGCACGCCTGTGCGACTATGACACGCTATGCGAAAGGGTTTTGGCTGGCGTCTGATTTGATGCATAGACCTGGAGATTGCCTCACCATATGGGAGCTCCATAGGTTCCTCAACGTGGTTCGAGAGTGCCAGGACCGACGTGAACTGGCTTCTTGGGACACAAGATCGCGGGGACCTGTGGGGGGCATGCTTCTCTGGATGGGTAAGGCGTCTTGGAGCATTCGTGGGCCAGGTATGTTTACTATGCGGTCAGGGGCCCCATGTGTGCTCACGAAGATCCCCTACGTTCAGGTATCCAACTACCTCTTCAAGGATCTAGGTAAGGAGTTTGTGGCCGAGAGTATGCAGAAGCACCTGAGCTCTAGTGAACACCCTAGAGCACAGGATATTCTGGAGGGAGGTCTCTGGACCGATCCGCCCCGCGCGTTATGGAATGGCTCCAAGGGGGAAAACCTCAGGCGTGTCGTCAAACAGGTGTTCACTAGAAGCTTCGTTACGGCACAGCATCTCCATCGCTGGAGATACCAGGTGGAGCCAACTTGTCCTTTCTGCAGGAACCCGCAGGCGCTAGACAGCGTCTGGCACAGGGTGTTCCAGTGCCCGCACTTTGAGGAGCTGAGGCAGGAGCACATGCCGATAGAGTGGGCGGAGGCAGGACTGGAAGCGGGGGAGGAGGATCCTTTCTTCACGAACCTTTGGTTACCTCGCCCAGACGGGATTGTTCCCGCGAGTTGGGATGGGGAAGTCAGATACGCTGGGCCTGAGGGCCCGATTTCCGAGTTTCGCTTCTCGAAGGCGGTCCACATCTATTCTGATGGATCGTGTTATGGAGGAAAGTATGAGCATGTGGCCAGGGCAGGTTGGTCGGCGGTGGCGGTCAATGATGAAGGAGGACTTGTTTCTGCGGTTTATGGCAATGTTCCTGGTTTCCTTCCTCAGAGCGCCGTTTTCGGAGAGTGTTATGGGCTTCTTCAGGCTCTGAACCACCTTGGAGATGACCCAGAGAGGGAGGGGCCTGACCGCCCTTTTGTGATTCATGTGGACTGCAAGAGCCTGGTGTCTGCTAAAGATAAATTTTCGGCCACCTCGGGCAACGCTCCGCTGGCAGAAGTTTGGCGGGTCCTTTTTGCGAAGTCGTATCCCACATGAGTGCTGAAAAAAGTCAAGGCCCACACCACTGAGGAGCTTTCAGGGGTCCCGCTTCGCCACCAGAGAGGACATGATCGTGCTGTTGGGTTCGCCAAGGATGGGGCGAAGATCCATCCGATGACGCTGGAGAACACCCACCGATATGAAGTCATGCCCTCTGGCTGGAGTGATGTCGCCCTAGGAGTAGCAAACATCTTAGTTGAATGCCCAACGGCCCAAGAGCTGTTTGGGAAACTGGACCGTACTGTCGCGCTTTCGGGGGCCCCGCCCAGGGCTGCGAGTAAGCGTTCTCGCGCCGTTCTGTGGAACGGCTCCATGTGGAGGTGCAGCAGGTGCGCGAAAGGATTCAGGTCCAAAGTAGCAAAGGGTGTGTGCGCTGCCCTCACGCCTGCTCTGAGAACGATCAGAGATTTGGAGGTTGAGCCCGCCCACAAGTTGTACGTTTGCAAAGTGATAGAGTCAGGCTTGCCCGTGGTTTTCTGTTTGCGGTGCGGGGCCTACACCACTGGCCCTGCCAGGGCCTTGGGGGCCCCGTGCGTCAAAATCTTTAGGCAACAGAGGGCGCAACTTCTTAGTGGGAAGTTGCCGTGGCCCCGTGGTAAGCACGTCTCAAAACCGTGGCCCCTAGAGTCTCCGTCTCCCGAAGGGGAATGGTGGTCGCGGCTCCAACATGTATAATCTGTTTCTTTTCCCAAGTCAGCCCTGTCGAGCCCAGTTCGAGGGAGCAGTGAGAGCGCCAACGTCTAAAGGAGGAGGAGGCGGAGGAGGAGGAGGAGGAGGAGGAGGAGGAGGAGGAGGAGGAGGAGGAGGAGGGGGGGGGAGGAGGAGGAGTAGGAGGAGGAGGAGGAGGAGGAGGAGGAGGGGGAGGAGGGGGAGGAGGAGGAGGAGGAGGAGGAGAGGAGGAGGAGGAGGCGAGGAGGAGGAGGAGGGGAGGAGGAGGAGGAGGAGGTGGAGGAGGAGGAGGAGGAGAGGAGGAGGAGGAAGGAGGGGAGGTGGATGTGGAGATGGAGGAGGAGGAGGAGGAGGAGGAGGAGGAGGAGGAGGAGGAGGAGGAGGAGGAGGAGGAGGAGGAGGAGGAGGAGGAGGAGGAGGAGGAGGAGGAGGAGGGGGGGGAGGTGGAGGTGGAGAAGAGGAGGGGGGGTAGGACATGAGGATGAGCAGGGCGAGTTGGAGCGGGAGGAATGCGAGGACGAGGAGGAAGTCTTGGAGGAGACACGCGACAGGCGATCCGCGCGTCCCGCGAGCAGCAGCAGCAGCAGCAGCACTCCTGGCAGGCTGCGCGGCCCTTGCTGGCCACGGTCGCGCCCTCGTCCGCTGTCGACGCCTTCGTTGCCGCCGTCGTCTTCTGTCCTTCCTCCCTCCTTCTTGGCCCTCTCCCCTCCTTCCCTTCCTCCTCCTCCTCCTCCTCCTCCTCCTCCTCCTCCTCCTCCTCCTCCTCCTCCTCCTCCCCCGTCCCAACTGTATTCCGACTGCGCCAGTGTGGTCATAATGCATCACACTGCGTCTCTCTCCCAAGCGTCCGTGTGCGGGGTTGGTGATGCAGGGCCGGGCTTTGGGTGAGCAGCGGATGCTTGGGTGCGAGAAGGTCAAAGCTCATCTAGTTTTAGATGAGGCGGGCCTCGACGATGCCGAGCGATTTCGCCGCGTGGGAAACGACGCCGCTAACAGGGCCGCGCGTCTGGGAGCCAGCAGCCATCCCACTCCGAGCGAAGGGGTCGCCGCAACCATAGACTTTAATGTGACGTGCTCGCAATTTGTCTGCCGCCTTGCCGCAGTGCTTCTGCCGATGTGGCCTAGAACTGATCTCTCAGAGGTGGCCTGGTCCAATCCATGTGAAACCTCGGTTCGTGCAGCGTCCACTCCTCACCACTGGCAGTGGATGGGCCCGCCAGCTGGTTCGCAACGTTTTTGGCAATATCTGTCGTGCCTTCGGACCTGCAGGTTTGCTAGCAATGTCCAGCCCCCTCCAGGTCGTTGTGGCCAGGATCCCCGAGTCAACGTGCAGTCTCTTAGGGATCTCAGGCATCAATGTGTGTTGTTTGACTGTTCGAACGATTCACTTTTGGTCGTTTGCGCTGTCTGCAGATGTTATACTTCTGGCGCCCGCCTTGCGAAACTTGGAGAACTGTGCACTGGCCCTCGCGAGGATACGGATACCGGTGAAATTTGCAAGTATAACCCGCGCAGCTGGAACCAGATTTGTGAAGGCCTCCGTCCAAAAGAGAAAGGAGTGACCACCTTACAAGACAGTTTTAGTGTGCTTTAAGCATGCAGCGCAGCGGTCGTGCTCCAAAAAGTCCTCCTCCTCCTCCTCCTCCTCGTCCTCCTCTTCCTCGTCCTCCTCCTCCTCTTCCTCCTCCTCTTCCTCCTCATCCTCCTCCTTTCCTTCTCCCCCTTTTTCAGTGCAAACCCATGCCAAGAAACACCTTGCTTGCCTCCAGGGTGGCCTTGGTTTCTTGGGTCTCGAGGGTTTTGCGATGGAAAGCGCGACGTTCCCACACCAACAATCAAAGGACGGCCTGGGGTCGCAGGGTTGGGTTTCTTGTGAAGGGTTCCTTATGGTCGAGCTCCTCCTTTTATCCTCTCCGCCGCCTTCACATCTTCCCTCCCTTCTTCTCCTCGGCCTCCCTGGCCTCATGCTCCCATTTCTCCATCCGCTTCGTTTTCGGATGTTCCTTCTTCTTCGTATCATTATTTTTGTTGTTGTTAGTATTATTAGTATTATCAGCATTGGTATTACTATTATGTTTACACATATTACTATTATTATCATTATTCTTCTTATCATTACTCGTATCATTAATCGTATCATTATTGCTATTATTTATGATTCGTATGACTATGATTATTCGTATTCGTATTATTCGTACTAGTGTTATCCGTGCTACGGTTACTATTACTCTTTTCAGTCATATTCTTAGTATTCGTATTTTCAATATTATCATTCATCTTGCTATTCTTATTACCCCTTCTCCTCTTCTTCTTCTTCCTCTTCATTTCCGCCTCTCTTTCTCCTCCTTCCTCCTCCTCTTTCCACTTTCCTCCGTAGTCTTCGCTGGCAAACGCGTGGTGGTGTGGGCATGAGAGGGGCGATCGCCTCCAGGCGTCATTTCCGCTGCCAGCCCGATGGAAGAGGGATAGGGGAGATGGGCATCCATCTCCTGGGGAAGGTGAATGGGGAGTGAGGAGGACTACGTCGGGTCCCCGCCAGACTGCGTCTGTTTCCGTACCTGTAATATTTTTCCATAAACTAATAATACGTAACTATTATTGTTAGTATTAGTATTCGTACTTTTATTGTTATTCGTAGTATTATTATTATCATTCTCATTGTTATCTTTTATATTCAAAAACTACTACTACTACTACTATTAATACTACTACTACTACTACTACTACTGCTACTACGACTACTACTACTACTACTACTACTGCTACGGCTACTACTACTACCACCACTACTACTACTACTACGACGACGAAGACGACGAAGACTACTACTACTACGCCTACTACTACTACTACTACTACCACTACTCCTACTACTACTACTACTACTACTACTGCTACTACTGCTACGACTACGACTACGACTACGACTACGACTACGACTACGACTACGACTACGACTACGACTACGTCTACGACTACGACTACGACTACGACTACGACTACGACTACGACTACTACTACTACTACTACTACTACTACTACTACTACTACTACTACTACTACTACTACTACTACTACTACTACTACTACTACTACTACTACTACTACTACTACTACTACTACTACTACTACTACTACGACTACGACTACGACTACGACTACGACTACGACTACGACTACTACTACTACTACTACTACTACTAGTAGTAGTACTTGTACTAGTACTAGTTCTATATATATATAACCGTTGTTTGGCTCCTTGTTTGGTTTGTTTGTTTTTTTTGGTTTTCCCCACCCCACTCGACTTGGCTTCTCATTTTTAATAGAACACTGCGGTCGCACACTCTTCCCTCCTTCTCCTGCTCCTCCCCCCTCCTTTGCGGCTTTTACTTGGGGGGTTGCGAACTGCGCAATTTTGGCCCTTGTCGCGGGCTCCTGGGAGGCACGGCGGGGTGGCGGAGTACGCGAGCACGCGCGCCCAGCCGAGACCTCGCAGCTCCCTGGGGGGGATGGGGGGCTGCGACCTGTGCAACTGTCGCCAAGTTCGTGGGATCCTGGGAGGCACGGCGGAGTCGCGGAGTACGCGCACCCAGCCGAGACCTCGCTGTTCCCTGGGTGTCTGCGAACTTGGCGGCAATTGTCGCCACGTTCGTGGGCTCCTGGGAGGCACGGCGAGTCGCGGAGTACGCGCACCCAGCCGAGACCTCGCTGTTCCCTGGGTGTCTGCGAACTTGGCGACAATTGTCGCCACGTTCGTAGGCTCCTGGGAGGCACGGCGAGTCGCGGAGTACGCGCACCCAGCCGAGACCTCGCTGTTCCCTGGGTGTCTGCGAACTTGGCGGCAATTGTCGCCACGTTCGTAGGCTCCTGGGAGGCACGGCGAGTCGCGGAGTACGCGCACCCAGCCGAGACCTCGCTGCTCCCTGGGTGTCTGTGAACTTCGCAAGTGTCGCCACGTTCGTAGGGGTCTTGGAGGGACGGCGGAGTCGCGGAATACGCGCGCCCAGCTTTGGAGGCACGGCGGAGATGAGGGCAGCGCAGATCGTGCATATCTGGCGATGGCTTCTTTTGTATGGAGTGTCCATGCACTTGTTCGCCTCGTGTGAAGAAGGGGTTGGGTACTTCTTGGATGATTTTGGTACCTGAGCGCCCACGGCAACAAGGACCTTCCCATCTTCTCTTCCTCGGCTTCTGGCCGCAGTTGTGTCCTCCGTCGTCCCGCCGTGCTGTCGTTCCCATCCTTCCTCGGCGCTCAGGTGTGGAGGAGGGTGATGATGGGATGAGAAGGAGAAGGGTGATGATGATGAGGATGAGGGAACGGAGGTGGAGGAGGAGGGCGAGGAAGAGGAGGGTGGTGCGGTGGCAGAGGAGGGGGAAGCGGAGGAGGTGGAGGAGGGGTACGGGGCGGTGGCGGGGAAGGAGAGGAGGATGGAAAGGAGAAGAGAGGGAGGAAGAGATGGCCTAGTGGAGCGATGTGGTGTCCCATCCATCCACCCCCAGGAGTGAGAGGGCGGTTCATTCATGGGGCGAGGGAGGGACATCCATCTTTCGCGTCGGCCAGCGGGTGAACGTCGTGGGTCGCCGTGTTTTCAAGGCGCACCCGAGGCAGGACACCGTGATTGATGACTGTGATCGGGCGACAACTCCTCGGCATCGGGGTGCACGACGTTTTTTTGGAAGCACGCAAGCTCCTCGCCCGTTCTCGCCGTTTCTCTCCCCCTCTGCACCTTCTTCTGGTGCATTCGCTCCTCGGCTGCTCCCCTCTCGCTCTCCTCCTCCTCCTCCTCCTCCTCCTCCTCCTCCTCCTCCTCCTCCTCCCCCTTCCGTAGCCATGTTGGCTCGAGATGCATGGTTCCGCTGGAGAGACCACGTGGATACCTCTGGTCTGGGGCTAGACACCAACGTCACATCCTCACGAACCTCTCAGCGAGCTACCCAGCGGCTGAGAGTCCTTTCCCGCTCCCAGTTTTGCAATGCTTATTCCAGCGCCTCTCACCGATGGGATTGCCCGATGCCGCGTCATTGGCTCGCCTGGCCGAAGAGCTCGGCGCCGCCCCCACGTTTTCAGATGGCGAAGTTGTGGACACCCCATGGAAGAAGTGGCCCAAGAGTGAGGATGGCAAAGGTCGAGCAGGCTGTGGCAAAGGCTCTGCAAGTTCGGCGTCCCGTATTGAGTCGTCGGCCATGGACTTTTGGCATTCCTCTTCTGCTGCTGTTGATGGTGACCCTTGTGATGCCAGGCAGCCTCCTCATGATTGGCAGCTCCCCACGCCGCCATGCCTCAATCGGTACCTAGATGACTACATCAAGGCGATGGTTGCAAATGACATCGCCACTAAGGTCACCGCTCTCCGCTCCGAGTTCGAGAGCCCTGTCAGCTCCGCATTCTGTGAGACCGCCGAGTCGAGCAGCTCCAACACCCTTGCCACTCTCGACGCAATGCGGAAGCAGATCGAAGCTCAGCCCTCGGAGATAGACCAGCATGCCATGCGTATCGTTCACCCGCAGCGATGCTTCGGAAAGAGCGATGCAGCGCCAGTTCGATGCCACGTCGGGAAAGTTGGCGTCGGTCTCGGCGGAGGTTGACGCGCACACGGCGCAG